CGCCTGGGGATTCCCCAGGCTGAGCTCCAGGCCTTATGGAGAATAGAGCTGGGAGGGCAGAAATGGGACCGTGAAAATGGCATTTCCCTCTAGAGACTGCCTGCTGCCCGACGCCAGCCCTGGCTCAGATGCTTCCGGTCACTGGCCTTGGTTTCCTCATTTGTGTAGCAAGGGAGGGTGTGTGAGTTGCCAGCTCGGAGCTTCCTGTGAGCAGAACCTGCTACATAATTTGTGGGGCCCAGTGTGAATGAAAATGTAGTCCCCTTTAAAAAAAACCGATTAGGACTCTCGAGACAGCAGCAGCAGGAGAGTCCACCAAGCATGGCCTCTTCTGATGACAGAGCCCTGTGTGACTGTAACTGTGAGGTCCAAGGGTGAGGAACGTGCTGCTGGGGCCATGTGCTTTTCTCCCACCTGCCTCTCCTCTGAGCTTGACCTGAAAGGTGCCATGAGGAGAGAGTGGGTGGCACCCAGGCACAGGAAGTACCTGGGCTGAGCTTGACTTCAGATGGCCTCTCTTTGGGGTGGTTTCTGTTCCTTCTGAGTCAGGCATCATCCCAGGGTGATTGCTTCTCAGCTGGAGGAGAGGGAGCCCCTGAGGCTCGCACCCTGAGGCTCGCTCCATCCGTTGATGTTCTGAGCCGAGTTAATCCACCTGGGCAGGAGATGGGAGCCGGCCCTGTAGAGCGAGCTTCCGAATGGACAGGTCTGAGGTAGATGGCTGGCTGGCTGGCTGGCTGGACAGCGTCCCTGGTCTCACTTCCCTTCTAGTGGAAACTGCCTGTGGAAGCTGGGAGGCCTGAAGCCCCCCGCCCACTCCTCACGTGGTCTGGTGGGAGAGGGAGAGCACTAGGTCTTGTGGGGAGGCCCTGGGACAGGAACAGGGGAGAGAGCATGGCGCTGGAGCTGCTCCTCTGGCTTCTCCTGTCACGGCTCCTCCCCGTGACCCAGATAGGCCAATCTGTCCCCAAAGAGAGGCCCTGGGGTGGTGGCTTCCCAGGACTGAGCTGGAGGTCAAGGAGACTCAGAAGACATGTCAGGAGAACAGAGCGTTTGGCGGAGCCCTGACAATCAGCATCAGGGCTTGGGGGAGTCGTAGCCAGTTCGGACAGGAAGAGTCCTCCGGAGGGGTCTGTGTGAGCCCAGCTCCTGGGCCATGGCAGAGGATGGGAGCGGAAGTGTGAAGGGGAGGGGTAGGTGGGCTCTGCCAAGGGATGCTTCCACCCTGGGAGCTGGAACTGGAAGGGTGGAGGTTATCCTCCGGGGAGGTCTACCCTGGCAGTGAGGAATGTGTTTAGGATGGAGATGGGGTACTAACTGGAGGTAGAGCAGCCTGGGTCAATTGTGCTCCTCCAGCTGAAGTCAGCTGACCTGGGTGAGTAGGCAGGAGTCCAACCACTCTTTATTGGCCTAGGAGCACTTGGCGCCTCATTAACCCTGCGTTACGAGGTCTTCCCTGGAGCCTTTGGGGAGGAAGAACCAGCCACCTTTCCAGCTGAGTGTCTCCTCTCCAAAGTGTATCCTGTGAAGCATGAGCTCAAATGGGAAATTTCTCCAATTTCCCATTGGCCTAATGCTGCCCTAAGGGTGGCAAGAGTCGATTACTCCAGGAGAGTGTCCTTAGCCAAGCCATAGATACAAATCTGATTCAAATGTGGGGGTTTTGTTGTTGTTTGTTTGTTTGTTTGTTTGTTTTGAGACCAGGTTTCTCTGTGTAGCTCTGGCTGTCCTGGAACTCACTCTGTAGACCAGGCTGTCCTGGAACTCATAGAGATCCGCCTGCCTCTGCCTCCCCAGTGCTGGGATTAAAGGTGTGCGCCACCATGCCTGGCTTGAAACGTTTTATCTTTCAAGGATGTGGGAGGTTGGAAGGTTAGGCCCCTATATCTGTTTCTCAGTAGTGGGGGAACCTCACTACAGGGTCAGCGAAAAGAGGAATATGAAAGACAATGTCATACTGAGCTGTCTTGAGCAAGAGGAGAGACCACAGCTTAGGCTGGTTAGAATGAAAGTGGTGTACCAGAGAGGCAGAGACACCACTGAAGTGGCCCAGAAGAAACTCTTAATTTCTGGGTAGACTAGGCGCAGGGAGGGAGGTGTGTCTCCTACACAGTCTGTGAGCCTCCCCCTCCCTCCCTCCACTCCCCCACTCTCCCCGCCCTGATCCACCATCACCAACTTCCGCCCAAGCCAGGATCTGTCACAACTCGAGGTAGAAATTCTGGTTTCCCTGGCCTGGAACCCACACTGGCTCTCGCAGGATGGGTGCCTGGAGGGCCGCGCTCCCATTCCAGCCAGGCTGAGCCTTCTGTCTTTGCCTGGACCCCCTCCTTTGCCCTGGATGCTTCAGGGCTTGAACTCGGGACTTCTCAGTGTGGCTGGCTCAAGGGTATGTGAGGTGAGGTGGGCATCTTGCATTCGGAGGTCATGGGGGAGGGTGATGCAGGGCTCCAGGGAGGCAGACAGCAGAGGCATAGAGACAAGGGGGGGCTCTAGAGGTTGGGAGTCTGCCAGTGACTCCTGCCCAGGCCATTCCCAGGAAATGCAGACGGCCAAACTGCTAGATAAACTGGCATGCCCCTACTTCAAAGAAGAAGGCTAGATAGGCCCGATTAAGCAAGAGTCAGAGCCCCCGGGGGGCTGGAGAAAGAGTAGGCTGCTTGCCTGGGTCGGGGTGAGTAGCAGGCACAAGATATAGGCACAGATGAGTGACAGGCCAGCCTGGGGATCTACCCTTCGGATGCAGGATGCAGGAACTAGTTCCCCAGAAGCCCTTTGTCCAGGGCCGGGATGATCAGGGCTCTGGACCATGGGGGCAGGAGATGCTAAGAGGCAAGAGTGGGAAGGTACTTTACTGTGTGTCAGGTGAGAAATGACAAGGGGGACTTTTAACAGGAGGGGACCAGAGATACAGCATGGGCCACGCCAGGGCCCCTATCTAGAGGGCAGCGAGAGGCAAGGTCAAGGCTGGCAGTGGGATGGAAGTGAGACTCTGAGGGCCCTTCCTGAGAGGAACTTCTGCCCCCCTGAGGCTCTCCTATTGGCCCTCAGGAAGGGTGTGGTAAGCACCGCTTACCCAGAAAGTGCCTGTTTCCCCCAGAGCCATCTGGCGACAGTCTCTGTCTGACCATGGCCCTGCCATCCCTGGGCCAGGACCCCTGGAGTCTCCTGGGAGTTTTTTTCTTCCAACTGCTCCTGCTGATGTCACTGCGGCCTGCTACAGGGACTGGTGGGCAGGGGCCCATGCCCAGAGTCAAATACCATGCAGGTAAGTGTCCGGTAACTGGGAGGTGTGGATGTCGATGTAAAGATGAAGGGGTTAAGAAAGAAGGGGAAGGGGCCGTCGGAGGGAGGGTAATGGAATGGAGAGACAGAGATGCCAAGGAGCGGTGGAGGGCCCGGGGGGAAGGGGAGACCACAAATTGATCAGGAAGGGCAGACAGGGCCACTGGCGCCCTCCTTCTGCCAAGTCTGATTTTTCTTTCCCTCCTCAAGTGACACTGTCACCAAGCAGGACACTAAATTCCTGATGGCTTTCACAGCTCCAGGTGTCCCAAAGCCAAAGCCCAGGCCAGATTGTCTATGGAGCTGGTGACCCCGAGCCAACCCCAGAGATCACACCAGGCCAGGTTGTGTCCAGTAGGATGGGCACCAGGAGAAGGCACCCTGGGCAGCTCACCTGGGGGGTCGGCTGGAGCCTGACACCCAGTTTCAGTGACTTCCTGCTGGGGCTGTGGGGCTTCTGAACCCTCTCGTTCTAGGAAATGCCCCAAGGGAAGCGCTCTACACACACACACACACACACACACACACACACACACACACTCCACACACCACCCGCGCAGAAGTTAGGCTGTTCTGTTTGCAGCTTAGCAGCTTTCGGAGGCAGAATGGCAAAGGAGGTGCAGTGTTAGTGGAAAGAGGCATCCCTGGGTGGCATGGGAGTGTAAGCATAAGCAAGCCTGGGCTTCAGGGGGAAGCAGGATGAGGCCTCGGGGGCGAGGAGCGCAGAGTTCAGGGCAGGGCAGCCTACTCAGGGACCTTTCCCATCTGGTCTTTCGATTCCTCTTGGTCCTAAGATTCCTTGAGGCCAGCACGGTAACAACCAGGGGCTGCCCTCTGACTAATGCAAAAGTCCAAATGTGCTCATGAGGGAGGAGCTGAGGCGCTCACTCCTCCTGGCTGAAGTGCCAGTGTGACAGGGGCTCACGCATTCACACGCGTGTGTACGCACACACACCACCTCTCACTAGGTAGTGACCAGGCCCTAGTAATCAACATACTCAGCCTGTCCAGGTGGCGTTCAGTCATGCCCACACGGATGGGGGGGGGGATTCCTGTAACAGAGCAAGGAGGGAACGGGGGTGGGGGGTGGGGGTGGCAGGAATCTGTAGCTGTGACAAGTCTTGAAGCAGACGATGGTTACCTCTGCTGCCTGTGGTTGAGAAGCCTTTCCTGTGTCTACCTGTCAGCTGTTCTCTGCCATCCTGCCTCACCGCAGCCCCCCTCAAACCTGAGAATGCATCTTCTAACCTCCCTCCGTTTCCTGTCTGTGTCTTGAGCTGGCTTCCCTGCTCTCCATCAGCTTCAGGCTGTCACCACCTTGTCGTTGGCACGTCTCTCTTCTGGGGACTCAACACACACAGTTCAGACACCTGCTATTGGGGGTTCAGGGGAAAGGGGGGGGCCGCCGGTAGAAGAGCTGGTCCAGCCCCCGAGGCCTGCCACCCCTCCCCCACCCATCTCAGGCATCAGCAGCTGCTCTCTGTTCCTCCTCATCCTCTCTCTCCTCATCGCTGCCTCCCAACAGGAGATGGGCACAGGGCCCTCAGCTTCTTCCAGCAAAAAGGCCTCCGAGACTTTGACACGCTGCTCCTGAGCGCCGACGGCGACACTCTGTATGTGGGGGCTCGAGAGGCCATCCTGGCCCTGAATATCCAGAACCCAGGAATCCCCAGGCTGAGGAACATGGTGAGGAGGCCAGAGACAAAGGGGCTGGCTGGAAGTGAGGACAGCAGCTGCCCTGGACCAGCGCTGCTTCCTGTGACCAGCCACCTGCCACTCTGAATCAGCAGTGCTGGGATGGAAATGCCGCTGTGGTCTCACTGTTATCTATCGAGGCCGTGAATACCAATCGAGCAACATCAGCTGCCGAAAAGGCTGATGCGGAAGTCACTGGCACAGCAGAAAAACAGTGACTCAAATCAGTGACTCAAATAATTTGATGTGCACCGACCTACTGGAGAAATCCTTGGTTCTAGTGCTATCAACCCCAATGATAGCAATGTGAGGGGAAGGGGGCAGGGCGGGGGAGGAAGGCATATTTCACAGATTCTTCTTAGTGGGTGGTCTCTTGGCCATCTGCACCTATGGGGTATGGGCTAAAATTCCAGAGTCTCGGACTAGGAATGCAGTTCAGTGGCAGAGCATGCTGTCTAGAGTGCGGAAGGCCCTAAGTTCATATCTGCACCCCTCCTACGGAGCTCCTCTAAGGGGTGGCTCAGGGGCTGGCAGGCTCCCCCAGGAAACGTGTGGTTTATAACCACTGCTGTGTATGCCAGGCACTTAAACATGCCATCTAGCTGCAACCAGCAGAGGGCCGTGAAACTAAGCCAGAGTGCACAGTCCGTTGGTGACAGAGCCTAGATTTGAACTCAGATCTGTCTGCTTCTACCACAGAGCCATGTCCTGATGAGCCCTGATATTATGGAAGTTATAGTCCTAATCAAATTGGCCTTATGACTGCCTCCTGAACACCACTAACTGCCTTACTGGTGATTTTACGCCAGAGCTGGAGAGGGGAGGGCGGCGTGCAGAAAAACCAGACTTCATTTCATTTCCTCCTCTTCACTCTCCACTTCAGATACCCTGGCCAGCCAGTGAGAAGAAAAAGAGTGAATGTGCCTTGAAGAAGAAGAGCAACGAGGTAAGCGGAGTGTGAGCACTCAGCTACAGAACCCTGGTGCACCTCGGACCGTCCCGGTGACCCGAGGGGTGGGCGCAGGAGGGCCTGTTCCTGTGGTGTTTCCCTGGATCACGTCCTGTCAGGCTCCCCAGTGCTGATCTCAGCCCTTCTCTCCACTGGGAATGGGGGAGCAGCCTCTGAGAGCCCAGGAGTTCGGGGCTCAGCCCACCTGATTTCTCTGCTTCCCCCAGACGCAGTGTTTTAACTTCATCCGCGTCCTGGTCTCCTTCAACGCCACCCACCTCTACAGCTGCGGGACCTTTGCCTTCAGCCCTGCCTGTGCCTTCATTGTGAGTTCCCTGAGGCCCCTCTCGCTCACGGGCCCCCAACGTGTCCTCTCACACCCACCCCAGCCTGCTCTCTACTTTGGGGAATCTCCGGTCCCCGAGGACCCTCGTAAGATTCCTGGCCCCAGACCCGTGTCCCTCTCCGCTCCTTTTACTCCTCCCTCATGCTCCTCGTCTACGAGATGTGCGACCCTGGCATTCTGGGCTCCCAGCCTCTCCCCCCCTCTAGGAACTCCGAGATTCCTCCCTGATGCCCATCTTAAACGACAAGGTCATGGATGGGAAGGGCCAGAGCCCCTTTGACCCTGAGCACAGACACACAGCTGTCTTGGTCGGTGAGTATCAGGCCTCCCAGACCGTACTAAAAACTTGCCTTTTCCAGCAGCCCCTCTGGGGAAAGTGGGGCATGATAGTTTTCCAAAGAAAAGGACAGAGGGAACCAGGAGCTTCGGAGGGCGGGGTCAGAGGGAGAACCAGGAAGCCCAGGCATTGGCCCCTCCTGAAACTGTCCCCAAAGGGGCGCAAGGAAATCCATATGGGAAGAGATTAGGCCTCGTGGTCTAGTAAGTCACCAGGTGACCCAGAGGTTCAGCCACTTGTTTAACCACTGCGCCTGGGCAGATGCCTCTCCTGATGTCTTCTTACACATTGAGCTGGGTCCTGAAGGGGCTACAACAAAGATGTCGTGTGCCTCTGCCCGGACACAGACCCTCACAGACTTCCCACCCTGGCTGCCCACAGGAGATGGCCATTACCTTTTGAGCAGACTTAAAAGATAAGCAGGGACCAAGATGTGTGAGCACCAGACAGTCATAGTCTGGGGTTGGTGTTTGAGGAAGGCCCAGAAAAAGGCTGGCAAGTGCTCAGTACAAAAGGCGTCATAGGCCATTGCCTGTGGCCAGAGGGATCTAAGAAGGGAGCCTGCTGTGTGTGTGTGTGTGTGTGTGTGTGTGTGTGTGTGTGTGTGTG